TGTTGTAAATCATGTATGTTTGCAAACAAATTATGTTTATTGTACTATTATAATAATTAATTTACCTTATTAAACAATTTGTGAAGTAATAGGGTTTCTGGAAACACCAAGAAAGCTGGAGGCAGATGATAACTAGATAGGATATTGGGGCACTATTCTTTTTGATTGGAAGACACAGCTTCAACAATATATGTATTTTATAAACCAGAAGAGCCTGATTAAAAAAAGCAGTATATAAAGCCCCATTGTTGCAGGCAGCTGAATTAGATAGAAATATTATAGGCAGGCAGAAAGGGCCAGGCCCTCAATGATACAAGATGGAAGACAAGGTGACTTTACAACTAGGAAGAGACACATGCTCCTGTATGGACCACACCTCAAGACCAAGACAAAAGAGGAAACATAGCTACATACTTCCGTAAGGATGGGCATCAGAGATTGATATTCTAAATAGGTATCAATCACTTTGAAAGAGCCTAAATGAGTCACTAGCCCAGCCCCCAACAGGAAGAGACCCTGTCCTGTATTCATGCCCACTTGCTAGGTGACTCACTTCGGTACTGGATTTAATCAATTTTACCTGAGCAATAGTGCTTGTAATCTCATTGACTATTGTTCTGTCCCACCTCATGCCCACCTAAGCAAGTTCCCATGTCTTCTCTACCACCTTAGACCCACCTCACCATATGGTTTTCTTCTATAAAAGTCCCTGGAAGAGACAACTTCCTGGGACAACCCGCTCAGGTCCCCCTTCCATCCCTCTTGGACAGGAGCTTTCTTTCCCTCAGTAAATATATTCTGCTCATAATCTCTGTTTGTTCCTAAAATTCATTCTTCAGTTTTAGAGAACACAAACTCGTCCCAGGTACCTTTTCAGGTTGGGAGATCCGTGTTTCTCCCTGTGTCATTTGGAGGTTCCCTGTATCATCATTAGAAACTGGGCAGCATCCAGGAAACTGCAGTGAGGTCCAGCTTTATCAACTGTGAACTATGAGAGGACTCTTTCTCTGCATTTGGTCTTTTCCTGTCTTATCTGTATCCAATCCGAAATAATACAACTATTATCCCATTGAAAAATAAGACTAAAGAGAGCTGTTTCAATTACAAAATGAGATGAATGTTTTAGAGTTGTACGATAAAGGCAAACTGCTAAAATTTTACTTCTCAATAGGATCAAAAAGCGAAGGCTGCAGTGCCCGGGGGTTGATCACCAGCATGCCTTGCCAGCCTCACCCCCCAGGGCACACTGAGAATGTGACTGAGACTGGGTGTGGTGGAGTGCACCTTAATCCCAGCTCTTGGGAGACTGTAAACAGGTGGATCACTATGAGTCTGATCTAGTAGTGAGACCCTGAACCCTGAACACCCTGTAGACCATTCCCTAAAATACAAAAAACAAAAAAACAACAACAAAAAAAAAAACATTAGAATCTGTAGATGATATACTGTGGGTATACTTAAAAAGAATAGCAAGAAAATTTTCATGTCTTTCCAATTAAAAGTAGAGACCTTATTTCTAAAATAAGTATGTATTTAAGTTAATAAAATGTTTGTTATATAGATGTCTTTATTTTTAAAATGTCTCTTTAACAGACTTAAAATCAACTGAATAACTACTGATCCTGGTCACATCAGGTAAGATGGTCAGTTAAAACCTTGAAATTTCCTTTGCTCCCTCACTGCCCACTCAAAGATTTCACGTCCTTTCCCTCAGTTTCCCCATCTTAGATTTTGATACCAAGATAATTTCTAAAGGGGTTAAGCATTTATAAACCTAAGTTTTATGGGTCCCCATTGTTTTATGACCTCATTCCCAATTTAAGATCCCTTTTGCTGTTTCTAGTCTTTCAGATCATCTTTTGTACACAAGACAAAATATTTTAATAGTCATGTTTGCAAAGTTTGTGATATGGAACTTTATCAAAGGGATTATCTAAGACAGTATACATACAACAAAATGCAAACATTGAAAGCGTGTATGATCTCGTAAGTTTTGACAATACACCCTTGTAGCCACACTCTAACCAAGATCTGAAAGGACTGTACTCCAGTACTCCCAATACACTCAAAATTCTGTTATTATTATTTTTCTATTTGATTCCTCATTTTTGCCTGGCCCCAAGGAACGAACCATATGCTTTCTTTTCTTTTTCTGTTTTGGTCTTTTTGAGACAGTGTCTCACTATGTGGTTCAGGCATATCTGGCTGGATCTGTTTTCTTTTAATGTGGTATGTTCCCTTTTTCTAGAATTTTATTTTATTTTAGTTTTTGCAGTGCTGGGGATTGAACTGAGGACCCTGCGCTTGCCAGGCAAGCACTTATTCTACTGAGCTATCTCCCTGGCCCTCTAGAATTTTATATAAGTGGAATCATACTTTTTTGAGGGACTCATCCTGTTGAGCTTATCAGTAGTTTGTTCCTTAATAATTTATAGATAAACATTAGGCTGTTATGAATAAAACTGCTATGAATATTCATATTCATATTAACCCAGGTTCTGGAAGAATATAAATGAATTCTTTTCTGAGCTAAATACTTAAGGATGGAATCAGTTGTTTACATGGTAAGTATGTATTTAACTTTAAAAGAAGTTGCCAATTTTGTTTTCCACCATGTCAACGAACAATGTAAGTGAAAGTTATTTGCTTTACATCTCAGAAGCTTTTACAAAAAGTCATACATTTCAGTTTGTCACTTACATATGTACTTTTTTTTGTTTTAATACTATTTTTATTTAAAAAATAAAAAATAAATATATTTCACATATTATTTGTCAACTCTTACATCAATTTATGTAAGAATGACAATGATCAAATAAATCACAAAAAGACAACTGAAAATGCATTACAAATAAATTTAAGAACATGACAGGGGCAAAGCCATACATTTATATGCACACGATGGTTAAGGCAATGATCCTGAGAATCTTCAGTAGGTTTTTGAAACTAGCAGTTAATCGGTAGGATTGTCACTCTGACTAACTATATATGCTAGTACCTGTGAACTAAGCAACTGCACTGAACAAAACAATGTGTAATACTAGGGTCATGCTTGGAACGCCTTTCTGGTCTTCTAAATACGTACTACTTGTCATCTCATACCAATTACTGCCATACTATCTCTCAAGTAAATGTTTAAAAAAAAAAAAGGGTAATAAATGAAAACAAGAGACAAAAAAATGTCATAGGGCTGTCCTGCTACAATGCTGTATATAGCTAGATTTCTAAACTTCTGTGCAAAGATATGTAATTGTTTATTCCTGTTTATATTTTTAAAATTTTTTCATTCTTCATATTCTGTAAGGACTTAACATTTAACATATCAATACTTGATGGAAAATTCCTGTTCCATGTTATGTCTAAGATCTCTGATATTCAGATAGATAGTGAGGTTAAGCTCAACTGCCTGTGTTGTAGAGTAATAATAAGCTTCTCTTCTGGAGGGCGAACAACTTAAGTTTGCAGACCAAAAATTAGAGAAAAAGAAGGGCTGCAAGGATAGCCAACATCTTGGCCCTAGCCTTTCAAGGTCAGCAAGGACTCAAACATTGGAGAATCTGTAATGTAACATCCTGTAACTCAGTTGTGTCCCAAATTTTCTAATCAAGGAGAGTATGGGGCCACAGAGGAAAGCAATCGACGATGCAGAGTGTGCCCAAGGGGAGTCACATGGAGAGAAAACATTCTCTCATGCCTTCAAAGAGAGCAAACTGGTCAAGAAATGGCCCTGACTCATCCACATGGCTGACACTGACAAAGGATCTACAAACTGCAGTACAGGGTTTCAGGATAAATCCTGAGGGGATCTGACTGACCTTATCAGATACAAAAGTTACATTTCTTGTTATATAGGTCCTGCTCCATCCTGGTCTCAACCATCCAGCAGAAAAGTACAAAATTGAAGCATAAAAAGCAAAGCCGTATCAGTAGGCTGAGCTGCAACCCCTGACACTGCCAGTCCCACAGAAAACCCACCACTACCATGGACTACTGGACTACACTGGTGTACTTCTTAATCTATTGTGATAGCTACTATATGTTAGTACTGGGTTAGTGGTTTGTTTTTCCCCCTCTACAATAGATCAAGTTTATCTAATCCTACTGGCTGTTCTGGTTTAGATCTTAAAATATCCCTGAAAGCTCATATGTTGAAAGCATGGTCTTCAGCTGGTGCTACTATTGGGAGATGGCCTAGTTGGAGGAAGAGATTCACTGGGGGTGGGTCCTTGAAGGATATATTTTTTCCCTGGCCCCTTCCTCTTTCTCCACTCCCTGGCTGCAATGAAATGAACAGGCTGGCTGTACCATGTGCTCCCCCCATGATATGATGCTGCACCACAGGCCCGTAAACAATGCAGCCCCATGATCATGGATGGAAACTCATGAAATTGTGAGCAAAGGAACCCTTGTATCCTTGTGAGTTGATTTTTCTACATATTCTGTCACAGCCATGGAATGCTACCACACTTGCACATACTCAACAATTTAGATTGATGCATTTTTCTGATATTACTAACTTTTCAAAAACAGAATGGAATTTATTTGTTGGTACTGTAATGTTCTGTCTTATCAGCTTTTTACATATGAGCCTTAGCAAATGTGCATCATTTTGTAGCCTCTCTAGCTTTTTTCCTATTCTTTGTGAAGACTTAACTTTCTATGACTTTTACTATTTTGGGAAGTAGATATAATTTTAAACACATATTTAACATACAGTCCTTAAAAGTACATATCCTATGATGCCCTTTTTTTGCCTCTATTATTTATTGAAATCACAAAAATAAAACTATAAATGTAGATGCTTAAATACATTTTTCTTTTCAGAAACTTGTACTGATACCCTGTTCACTTACTAGTTTGTTCAAGATTGTATTACAAAAATAATATTTTTGAATGTACAATGATTTCTTGGTGTTTCCTATGTAAAGTTATCATATTTTTAGTTTTTATGGAAATGTGTTTTATGATAACCCGACAGAGACTAGCATCTATCTACTTACCTTAAAAAACTCCTTTTTCTCAATCATTTCATTGCCATCTGTATCTAACATTTTAAAAGCCACATGAAAACCAGTATGGGGTTCTGCAATAAATGAAAAATAAATATTCAAATGCTGCTAAAATACTAATTATTTCCAGATAGACACATCCTCAGCTTTGAAACAAACCATCAGAAACTATATGAGCAAGTGCTGAAACTGGGAAAACAGTAATCTCTCCAGTTTCCAGAGGTGGTAAGGCTCTGTCCCTGCCTTCTGCAGCTTTTCCACAGGAGCTGCTATACCTAGTTCTGCTCTTGAAAGCACATTCATTTGAGAAATTATTTCTTTAACCCTGTACATTGTGTAGTACACCTTGGGTATTTCTGCTTTCTCCAAGTAGTATTTTTAAGCTTTCCATTGTCATCATTGTAAATATACAGAAACGTCATACAACAGAGTCCCCACACACTTTTCACTCTGCTTCTGTTCATGTTAACATCTTTGCATACTAAAAGGACATTTTTCAAAACTAAGAAATTACAAGAGGTATAAGATTAAGAACTAAACTACAGTCTTCATTTAGATTTCATATTTTTTCACTGAGGCTTTTTTTCCCCTATAATCAAATACAAGAAACCATGCTGCATTTAGTTGTTACATCTCCTTGCTCTCCTCCATCTATGCATGTCTCTCAGTCTTTCCCTGTTTTCATGGCCTTCCTACATTTGAAGGGTGCTGGTCAGGAATTTTGTATAATGTCAGGTATCCCTTTGTGTATGTCGTATATGTGAGCATTTGTGAAGTTGGTGCATATGTGTGTGCATGAGTACATGCTGTCTGTGTAAGAAGGCTGTGATTTTGTTCTGTTAAACAGGCTTTCTATTCAAGAAACAAAGGGATGTCATGATGTGTAGGAGATAAAAGAGACCTAAGGAGGTAACATAATCTAAAACTAACATTGCATAGATACAAAAACTAACGAATCAATTTTTTAAAAAAGCTAAACGCTAAACTTCAAAAATCCTTCTTGGCAGGAAAAAGAGAATTCCACATGATGGTTGTGACAACAGTGGGATACTTACTAGTGAGGATTGTAAGCAAGAAAAGATACTCAGTATATGAAATCAGCCCTGAAAGAGACATAAAAACATATCAGGAAATAAACTGAAGATGGGTTATAAGTAAACACATAGAGATATTAATATTAAGACTTCATATAAATATAAAAACCACATTTTTACTTTAAATTACTCTCTTTAGTTCAGTAGACACATGTTACAGTCCTAATAAAAAAGAAAAAAAGACTTTCATTACGTTATTAATATACTACTAGGAAGCAGAGTGAGACAGTGTTAAGTGTAAACTTGGCTGGGTCCTAAAGCTCCAAGATGAACATTAAATTTGGGTGTGTTCATCAGGATACTTCCAACTGGGGTCAGCTTTGTGGTGGAGTCCACAAAACAAGTTGCCCTCTCCAATGTGCAGGCACTGTCCCACCCAATGAACAAAAAGCAGAGGAACAATTCAGTCATCCTCCCTTTTTTACTATGACATCTCATCTCAGGTTCTCCTTAGACTGAGATTTGTACCATTGGGTTCCCTGGTTCTCAGGCCTGGGAGCTTGGATTAAACCACATCCTCATGTATCCTGGGTCTCCAGTTTGCAGAGAGCAGATCATGACCCTTCACAGTTGTGTGGGGAGTTATCATGATAAACCTGTTTATCCCCTACTGGATTTTGTTTCTCTAGAGAACACAAATACGGGGGGAATATGATGTTGGCTAGCAAAAAACCGGAGTTAACTATAAGTTTAATCTGCATGGCACTTTTTAGAACTTCTATTGAAAGTTTTACTGTTCACAGTATCTCAGTAAAGCAAAATTCAACAGAATGGAGTCAAATTATAGTATTTAAAATTCAGTAATTAATATTTGTAGCAGTGACTTTAATTTCCTTTAAGAAAATCTTTTCCCGACTGAGACCACCCAGGGTCTGTGAATCTTCATTCGACCCAGAGTGCAGGCCCAGCAAGGAACCCTTTAGCAGAACTCCCTGCAAAGAGGCTAGAGGCAAGACCCACCCAGCTGATTCAGGAGCAGA